GCATGTAACTTTAGCACAAAGATACACTTGATTTCCTCGTTAAGCATAGTTATAACATAGTTTATAGGAACTGAAATTTGCTCTTCATAATTCAGTATTCAGTATAATCCAACTCATAAAGGAGGAATAGAATGGCTCAGTGGGTTCCTTATTTTCTCAATGCAGAACTTCGATGCTGAGGTTCTATTCCTCCGCTCGAGTAAACCTGTTCATACATCCGAGTAAAGCTGGCGATTCATTTGTATTTCTATCGCCTAGGGACTCTCTGGTATATTAACCAATGCGACAAGCCAGTGGAGGGAGTTTAAATTCATGGACATTTGTTACTTTTATGGCTAGTTTTGGGCAAAATTAATGGCTATCAAAATTAAGAGAATAGTTTTCAAATTTTTCTTCGGGAAAATTTGCAATCTTCAAAAAAAGCAATTCAATCTTTTTGAAATATTTTTTCAGTGGCATGAAACTCTATATTACAATACTTTTTGCCACAATATTTCCCGGGGTTTTTTTTTGCGCGTAGAAGAAATCTTCAAAGAGAAATTTAATATATTAAATTTTTATTTTATTTATTTTAAAGTGATAAAATAGATTTTGATCAATTTTTTCGCCAAAAAATGGTGATTTTAGCTCATTTTATTTTATTTTTTTCTTATCAATCACTTATCAATCAAAAATGATTAAAATGATTATGATTAAAGTGATTATGATTAAATCAGAGCGATAAATTAAATCAATTCATCTATATAATTTATATTTTTATAATTAAATTTTTTGGAGAACCGTAAAAATAGTAAACTTTATATTCAATTTTATTGATTCATAGCCTCATTTTTTAAAATTATATTTCTCTTTTGTGAAAATATCATTAGAACAATTAATCATTTTACAATAATTTAAAAAAAAAATTGAAAAATTAACAACTAAAATTTTGTTTAAACTAAAAAATTTAGTGGACTTTGCTTTGTAAAATATTCTTTTATTTTAAAATTATTTATTATTAAAATATATTTTGGAAAAATATTAGTTCGACGATAAATAACGATAAAAATAATAAATATTTTTTATGTTTCAATTTTTTATGTTTCAATTTATTTATATTTTCAAACTTTCGACTCAAAAAATAAATAAATCTTTTCATTAAAAATATTTTTTTTTGGTTTTTTATTCTATTTTTTTTATATTTAAATTATTTATATTTATATTTAAGTGAATCAGCAATTTTATTTAAATTAAAACTTTTATCGTTTATATAAAATGAAAATATTATTGTTTTGTTGAGGAATCTTTTCTGGAGAATTTTTTTCATAATAATAAGTAAATATTCATCTATTATATTCGAAATCAAAAATTTTACATTTCAAAAATTATACAAAATTATATTTTTATTTAAATAAAAATAAAATAAAATTATATTTAGATAAATTATATAAAAATTATATTTTAGAATATTGTGGTTAATGAGATTTGCAAGTAACTTAGCTTTTGCGATTCACTGTAAAAATCCAATTTTATATCCAATGATGCTCGCAAAATGCGCAAAGTCTTGTGGCCTATGTGATCAACCAGGTGAGTTCTTGGACAATGCCCAGATGTTTAGCGAAATTTGCACTACTGCGAGAGGTTTATAGAGGTTTGTAAAAAATATAGCTGATTGCTCAAATGTGGTGTGTCATAAAACCCTGCAGGATGAGAATATTTTTGCCTCGATAAATTCTTGCTCAAAAAATTTCTGATTGAGTTTTGTTTTAAATACCATTGAATTTTTATCAGCGAATCAATATCAATATTATCAGCGAATATTTTTATCAGTGAATTGTGGATCGAGGATGGCTATTGCCGATATTATTGCCTCGTTCCTAAGGTTTCGATGGTTTCAATTCTCTTCTTCTTCAGCATTATGATGAGTATTATGCAGTTCCTCATGTACAATTATATTCTACAATTCTCCAGGAAGCAGATATTTCTCTCACACTTGTAATGCTTATTAATAATATGAAATATAAACCGTTTAGAATTTTCAGGATATTTTTTCAGAACGATGATTTTGTGAAATTACTTCGTTCTATTTATTTTGATTCTGATTTATTCATTATTGCTTTGTTATTGGTACTTTTATTTTAAAATTAGGTTTTTCTAGTTTTCAACGAAAAATGCCGCAATAAAATTAAAATTTGTCTATAATGACAAATTTTTACATATAATTTTGACATTTTGACATAATATTATTATAAAATAATATAACAAACGAATAGTAGGCACATGGAATATGAAAATATAATAATATTTTTACAATATTATAATATAATATTATTTTATATAATATTATATGCTTTATTTTCTTAATAAAATTAATAATAATAATTTTTAAAAATAATAATGATTAAATAGTAATAATAATATTATTATTGATAATAATAATTAAAAATAATTACAAATAATAATAAAAAATAACAGTGGTAAAAATGAAAAATTTACAATAAATATTAATTACAATAAATTTATAATAAATATTAATTACAATAATCTATAATAATATATTAATTATTAAAAATTATCGAAAATAAAATATATCCCTTTCGAAAGAAAAGAAAAACAAAACAAATTTAGGCCCTCTTAACTCAAATTTACAATATAACCAACAGCGTTTTATCAGTTATCAGCTTTGAAATTTTTTTAGAGAAATTTAGAGAATAATTTCTTCTTCTCATTCTGTTCTTTTCCAAAATTTATTTAAATAATAAAACAACCTAAAAACGAAAAAATTATTTTATAAAACAAAACGCTCTAAACTGATAACAATAACAACTGTTTTAAAATTTTAGTCCTTAAGTTTTTTTCAATCTTTTTTTGGTTATTATAAAAATAATATATTATTTGGTTTAATGAGATTTCCACAAATGAGAGATATAATTTTAAAAAATGAGGTTATAAATCAATAAAAGAATACAAAGATTTGTTGTTTTTACGATTCACAAAAAAAATTTTTATTAAAAATTATACAAATCAATTATCATTTAGGCGATCGATTTGATTTATATGGTGATAAATTAATCGCGTAAAATCGTGTATTCGCGTAAAATCGTGAAAATTCAACTTATTTCAACTTTTCGACCAAAAAATCCATCGAATTAATTTATCTAATTTAATATTTAATTAAATATTTAAAATAATTATAGAATTATAGAATTTAATTATAGAATTATAGAATTTATTAAAATTATTGATAATTAATTATGTTAATTATGTTATTATATTATAGTAGACTTTCATAATTAATAATAATTATACATTATAGATTTATTTTTTCCACTATTATTTATTTTTTATTATTTAGTTCTAATTATTTTTAATTATTATTATTAATTATTATTACTATAATTATTTAGATGATTATTATTGTACTAAATAAAAAATAAATATTTAATGACTACCATTATATTTAATGGAAATTTTTATAAATTTTTTTTAGTAATTTAAATAATTTTAATGTAAATATTTTATTTTTATTTTTGCAATTTATTTATATGATTCAATTCGTTTATAATTTATCTCTTTTCATATTTTATTTTAATATTTTTATTGGATTATTGTAATTTAATATTAATATAATATAAATATAATATATAATAAAAATTTATTTAATTGTTTTTAATTCTTATTAATTCTTAGTAGGTAAAATGTGCTGATCGCCTCTATATTTCGATATTTTTGAATAGACTACGCCTATCGAAAAAATGACCGAAGTGGAAAGGATTTTCCAGTAAAATGGTACCATATATGTAAACTAGTTGATGCGATTAATTTTTCTTTCATTTACAAATTATGAAATTATATGCAAATTTTACGAAACAATACGTGAATTATGTGAAAAAACCCGTAACGTTTTGACGGATCGTAACGGATCGTCGAGTTTATTTTTTTTTTTTTTAAATAATTCTAATTCTAAAAATTTCTTCTTTAATTTTATTCATGGCGAATAAATAAATAATTCACAAAATGAAAAATCTTTTCCAACATCTTTCATCTAAAATTTCTATAAAAGCATAAAAAATTAAAAAATCATCTGACATTGGAAGCTTAGAGTACCACAATCTTCCAGGATAAATTGATGAAAGAAGCCGAAGCCGAGATCGATAGATAGTAATTGTTTTGAAGCGCAAAAATTCTTGGGCAAAAATTAAAGGATGAAAGTTGATGAGGTTGAGAAATTTAGGGGAGAGGAAGGTTTGGAGGAGGAAATGTGGATGAATCCTAAAATTTTTATCACGTTTGTTGAATCACGTGGATTTTATTCCATTAATTATTTTATTAGTGATTTATTAAAATTGTCGAAAAATTCATTATTAAAATTAAAATTTTTTTTCATTATTCATTATTATTAAAATTAAAATTTTTTTTTGATATTTTCTTTTTTTAAATTTTTTTAAATTTAAAAATTTATTTTAAATTTGTTTTAAAATTAATAAATTTATTTAATAGGTGGCAAAGATTAATTTTATCTATTTATTTTATTTTATTTATTTATTTATTCATTTTATTTAAAACTAATTTTATTTAATTTTAATTTTTATTAAAAATAATGAAAAAAATAATCTAAAAAATAATCTATAAAAAGAAAAATTTATATAAAAATTATTAAATTGTTAAATTAAAAAATTATTAAGTTATTAAATTAAAATTTTTATTAAAAATTTATTAATAGTTAATTGAAGTTGAAAAAAGTACCAGGTGATGCTGGTGACGATTCTCACATTTTACTTCTATCGCTAAGTGATTCTCTGGCAGAATTTCTCTAAGTTCTGCCAAGCCAGTGATATAAGTAGTTTTAGCTATAATTTATAAGTATTTTTAGAAAAGAAAAAAAACTAATTGCTTTTCATAATTATTTTTGATTACAACTACGAATTATTATTTTATTATTTTATTTTAAATTTTATTTTTTATTTTTCAGCTAATTTTATCTATTGAAATTATTTTTTCTGAAAATTTGAAAATTTAAAATGATAATTTTGGAACAAAATAATTCGGTTATAACAGAATTACTTACACTAAAATTTTCTTCCGTCAAACAAGGGTAATTCTTTATTTTAATTTTAATTTTTATTTTATTATTTATAATAAAATAAATGGTTTAGTCGTTGATTTTTAATATTATCGATTTTTCTAAAAACAAAAATTTTCAATATAGAAAATATGGGGCAAATCTTATTTAAATTTTTATTTTTACATTTGTATATTAGCAAAAAATAATTATTATTATATTTCTTATTATTGTTTATTATTGTTGAAACCAGGTTTTTTGTCGTAATTCCTAAATTAATACAATAAAAATTTTAGCAATAAGCCAGATTCAGTTGATTTTATATTTGCCGATTTCGATGGTGTTCTTTATCATTTATCAAATCCCGATGGTGATCGCTCGAAACTAATGGTTATTTTTATAAAGTATTACAGAATTTATGTAGAATTTTTTTTTATCACCATTGTTAATATTTATCACCTATTAATATTTATGTATTACATCGTTATTATGTTTGTTATCTGTATAGATTTATGTTTCAGTTAAGCATTTCATTAAAATTTTATAAAGAACTTCAAGAACATGGCGCTGATGAAGTTGGTTTCCTTTCTTTTTGTTTAATTATATTTTTTTTTGAAAAACTAAATGTTTAGAAAAGATTTTCATGTTTAAAAAAATTTTGAGTAAACTTTGCGGAACTTTACAGAGAAAAGAAAAATCTATATTTTTTTTACTAGAATAAGAATTTAAAAAAAAACCCTTAAAAATGAATTTGTTCAAAATTTAAAAAAAAATAGCGATATGAAAAACCAAGAATGCTAATATGTACTTTAAAGATTTGAAAATAATCGATTGTTTTAATTGAAAATTTTTCAGTTATTACGCAAAGAATATGGAGAATATTTAATGCAACCACCTGAAGATGGCTATAATGTATCGCTTTTATATGATTTAAATAATTTACCAGATGATTATGCAAAAATTATCGAAAAAGCATCGCATTTTAAAAGGAATTGTTTTGCGTCGGTTTTTGAAAAATATTTTAATTTGCAAACAGCTGGAGACGAACAACAAAAACGAGCCATTATTCATTATCGTGATGATGAAACGCTGTTTGTTTTTCTAAAAAAATTTTTTTCTCTCATTCTTTTAAATTTATATCTTTTATGCAATTTTTTTTTTTGCATTGTCTTGAGTAAATTCTTTCTGATTATCGATAAATAATTATATTTTTTTTATTAAAGATATATTGAAGCAAAAACCGATCGAGTTACTGTTATATTCAGTACAATATTTAAAGATCCAGATGATGTCGTTATCGGAAAACTATTTCTTCAAGTTAGTTCATCTTAGTGTTCTTTATTTTTATTCTTTATTATTCGATTTTCAATTTTTCTACCAAATAATTTGTAGGAATTTCGTGAAGGACGTAAAGCATCTCAAACAGCACCTCAGGTTTTATATACAGTCGGCGAGCCTCCACTTGAACTTAAGAATTGTTCAGACGCCCGAATCGGTGATAATGTTGGCTATATTACTTTCGGTATGTATTGAATTCACTTTTTCTTTTTTAATTTAATAATACTGTTTTTTGTATTATACTAATATTTGTTATATTTCAGTGCTTTTTCCACGCCATACAAAAGCAAATGCAAGGGAAAATACAATAAATTTAATTCATACCTTTCGTAATTATCTTCATTATCATATTAAATGTACTAAGGTATTCTCTTTTTTTGTGCTTTCTCCTTTTACATCTTTTTATGATTTTTATTTTTTTCCTTTTTTAATTTTTAAATTTTTTCTTAAATTTTTTTAAATATGGCTTTCGCAATATTAATACAATAAATATATAATTAAGGCTTATATGCATTCACGAATGCGAGCAAAAACTAACGATTTTATCAAAGTTTTGAATCGTGCTCGACCTGAAGGACGTATTGAAAAGAAAACTTTTTCGTATGTTTTTTTATTTGTTAGAAGAAAATGAGATTGCTTGCATCCAACGCTATCTTTCCCACACTTTTTTAAGTTTACGATTGATTTTTTCGGAAAAGATGCAAAACGAAGTCTTAGGAATTCATTTTATATTTGCATGTATTTTCGAAAGCAATATGTTTAATGTTTTAAAATAATTTAATATATAAAATATAAAATAAGGTGAATTTATATAAATAATGAAAATAAATATTTAGCTATTTAATAAAAAGGTCAACGGACAGGCAGAATTTTCATTTCTTTAAGATAAAATGCGATTCTGAATATATTCGATATTTTTAAACTTAAAATCAATGCCAATAATTTGAAATGCGATAAAATTAGGCTTTCTACGCAAAACTTCTTTCTCAATTGCCTCATAGGAACCCCACTGCATTACTTTTTTACCCATGAATTTCCATTATACATTCTAACCACACTTCATTTACCTTTATATTTCTCATCATGAATCGTTTTATCACAATTTAAGTACAAAATCAAAATTACATTAATAAATATTTATTATTTATTAATAAATATTTTAAAGGAACTTTAGAGTTAAATTATGAATTATAAATTAAATTAGGGTTAAATTAAGCACATAATGGAGGAAGATTGAGGAAAAATATTTCAGAATAAGAGAGGATTTTGAAAAGAGCATAGGGTTAAGGAAATAAATAGAGGTTTTCAACGAAATAAAATTGGAGGATTGTTAATGGGGCATATGGAGAAATGTTAGCTGATTGTAATAGGAGGGAATGTATTAAAGTACCATAGTGGATTATAAAAGAAGTTACGATCCGATTTGGATACTGAACACTGCAAATTGATGACCTATTCTTGTGTGTTCAAAATCTGTTTTCGTCATGGCACTCCAGATTTTGGTTGATTCACTTTTGACGCCATTCTTTCTTTTGATGAGTTTAGAGAAAATACATTAATTTGTGGGCATTATAAACGAGCGGCGGAGAACATGGCCTAATAGCATAGGTGACGGTGGATATACGACGATGGATGCATTAATGTGAGATTCGACATATATTATGAACGATCGAGGATGGATAATTTGTTGATATTTTCGATTTTCATATTCGATTTTTCTTGGATCTTTCAAGAGCTTAAATCCTGGAATCCAAAATTTCCTGCAATTATTGATAAGAAATCTGTTAACCATCACAGTTCATTATAAAGGAGGGATCATCAGCACTCTTGATTTATAATAGTAAACCTTTTGACTAACTTGCACACCTCCCTCTTAAGTACTTATAAGTGACAATGATAAGTGTTGCATAGTTGAATATTGTAGGAGAAGGAATGCAGTATTGATATACGCCGGTTCTTGTTTCATGAAGATATATCAGTTTCCCACACGTATAGATTTGTGCTGATGCCCTAGTAAATTGAAAGATTTTCTCTGAAACACCACTGCATTATAGATTGTTGATACTTAAAGTGATATTTAATACTTTTTATCGAAGTTAGCTGAGCTTTCTTGTACTATTCTAAGTTTGTTCGACAATATATGCAGGCTATTATGGAAAATTGGTTTGTATAACAAAGTCATTTCTGGAAAATTCCGGAAAAATTAGGAGAAATGTGAGATATCGCTTTTTTGTGATTTTCTGGCTTTATCAGTAGTCTTTAATGTCTTCTAAAACCTTATTTTGGAGTATCTCTTTAAAACATGTTTTTTCGTTTATACAGTCCTCATTAATTCTTGTTTATACGCCACAAGTACCATCATTTTCTATATTTTCTCATTGCAGCTTCTTTTAATTGGCTTTTTTAGAATAATTTTTAATATATCGTTATATCGTTTTCCCTTTAATCCAACTGAAAACAGTTCATTATATATGATAAATATTAGATTTTAATTTAATTTGGAATTTATTTTTATTATAATATATATATTATAAATATATATTATAAGAATATAATATTTTAAATATATAATATTTAAATATATAATATATAAATGTAAATATATATAATAAATAAATGTATAAATTTTAAATATATAATATAAAAATATAATATTTTTATTTATGAATATAAAAATGATATTGTATATTTTTCTTTTTATTATATATAATTATATATATATATATATATATAGATATAGATATTATAGATATTAGATTTTAATTTAATTTGGAATTTATTTTTATTATAATATATATATTATAATATATTATAATATATTTATTATATTATTATATATATATATATTATAATACATTTTATATTTTTCTTTTTATTATAATATTCAATATAATTATTATTATAATTTTTAGTATTATAATTATTATTATAATAGTTTATTATATATTTATATAGTTTATTAAAAGTGGTTATTACTCAAAAGTTTGTGATTAAACTGTCCGCTGTCTTGTCGAATTCAATAAAGTTACTTGACAATTGAAATACAAATGGGTCGCCAGTATTACTCGGATTATTTTAAAAACGATTAGTCTATCCTTGTGAGGAAAAGTATGAGCGTTCAGAAATGAAAGCAATAATCCGCTAAACCATTCTAGCTCCATTTTATAAA